CCCATGAAAGCCCAAAAATCACAGCAGGAGGGCTTCCATCCTCAGAACCACCATTCATTCAGTATTGAAAGCACTGATATCTGCTCCTTTTTACTCCTTGAACCCTAACAAGTTGGGTGCATTTCTAGTAAAATAAACAAGCAATAATACTTGCACAATGTCTACAAGCCTCTCAGTGTTTATTTTGGTCCAAGTGTTACAATAAACATGAAGCAATACACACAGCTCAGCTGTTCTTCCTTTAGTGATCATCAAAATTCACTGTACATAAAAAGTTTGAAAAATTGTAAGTGCACTTTGTACCCCATAGAGGGTGCGCATAACTCATTTACTTCTAGTATTTCTTAAAAATGTCTTACCAAACTGTATTTACAGAATAACAGCTTATACTTTTACTTCACAGTTCCTAATTATGTCTGTGGCCCATTAACTGCATGTTCCACAGTAGAACGTACCATCAAAGTCAGTTTCTATCCAAGCATAGGGCTTACTTAATGCCCAAATCCAGTTACTGCATCAGCACAGAAAGAAGCAGGGGGGACATCTCAGAGCAAAAAAAAAAAAAAAAAAAAAAAACACCTCAGAGCTTTTGACTTGTGACTATTCTGTAAAAAAAAAAAAAAAAAAAGATTTTGGCTAGAGTTGAGCTTCAACAAAGCATTGCAAGGTGCAGCGAGTAACCAAATGTGTCGGTGCCTATTGCACAATCATAATAAATAGCCCCGTTAGACATCCAAGTAGTGTAATGATTTTAAACTACAGTGATTGAGCTCAATAAAAATCATCTTTATATGAAAAAAACTACAGTGATTTAGAGATTAATGAGGGAAAATATAGTTTAAAGAATTTGCTGAAACAGGTGTCGCTGGAGGAAACACTTTCCTAGGTCTTCTAGGCTTATTCTATTCAATGTCGGTTCACATCTTAAATTAAGATGATCTGTTCCTTGGCAAACCAGAACCAAACTCCTGGGAAAGTCTTTTAGCGGAACTTCACTGCACTGGATGCAATCACTTGTCATCTGTCGTCCAGGCAGCGTCCACATTCACAAAGAATGACTCAAGGCTATGCCCAATGAAGCGCTCTTGTATCGATGGATGGTGCAAGAGGAAAAGATTGCACATTGTGCTTACAGTTCATAACTTGATACTAGCACAGCCTGGTCTCTATTGCTAAACGTATCCACTAACAACAGTAGCCCTGTCAGCAGCACAAGCTGGCTGTGCAAAGGCCAATATTCGAATACTGTTAACCTAGGTCTGCCTATGAAGAGACTTTCATGCTTGGGACTCTTTGCCAGCAATGTTATTAGCTGTCCCCTTTTGTTCATTGGCTGTTTCTGGCTGGTCCTGGGCGTTTGCTTCAGTGTTCTTCTGTCTCATGTGTCTGAAGATAACCCAGGCAGATGCTCCAAGGTACACGACAGCCAACAGTGTAAAGTAGACAAAATAAACATAAAACTGAAAGAGAGAAAGAGAGAAAAAAAAAAAAAAAAAAAAGGAAGAGTCAAAATGCTCCTGTGCATACATGGACTATTTTCAATGAAGGCAAAAGCCAATGTGTCAGTAGTAGCAGGATGCAGCCAATCAGAAACCTTCTTTAATACAACCAAAAACCTGAAAGTTATCTGTGATTTGATGTTGGGATACTGCATCGGTACCATCTGCCCAGTCACTAAATATTATTACAGGAACTTATATAGCGCAGTCAATTTACGCAGTGCTTTACATATATATTGTACATTCACATCAGTCCCTAACCCTCAAGGGGTGTACAATCTAAAGTCCCTAACTCACATTTATACATACACATACTAGGGCCAATTTAGACAGGAGCCAATTAACCTACCAACATGTCTTTGGAGTGTGGAAGGAAACCGAAGTACCCGGAGGAAACCCACGCAGGCACAGGGAGAACATGCAAACTCCAGGCAGGTGGTGCCGTGGTTGGGATAAAGTTCTTTTGTGCACGGATCTTAGTATAATACTGAACGCTGCTTAATCATTAGCCTAAGTTGTACAGAGCAAAAGGACCCTCATTAATGTTATGAATAGCAGCCAGTCAGGTTACAGTTTGTTGCCTTGCAATGGGAAAAGAGCTGTTAGAATCTGACTTGCTCTGCAAAACAGGTTCATCCGCCTTTGTTCATCTTTCATTCAAAAGTCCCATTGTGTACTGTGTGTGTAAATGGCATTTGCTAGTATAGAAACTGCAGTTGCCAACTAGCATAAAGTCGGCCTTACATGGATTGAAATTTGGTCGGTTCAGCTGGAAACAGAAAAATTTCGATCTATGTATGGGCAGAAAGGTTGTATGGAAATCACTCTACCAAACTGGCTTCTGTACAACTGCCCTGTATAATTTTCTGCACTTCATCAGCATTGCAGGCTATAGCCTGCACGGCTGATCAGTATATTCTGACATTGTGGAAGTCTCCCCACTGTCAGAATACAATAGCTCAGCAGAGAGGATTCCCCATCCACAAAATGGTTGAACAAAAGAAAAAAAAAAAAAAAAAAAAAAAAAAAAAAAAAACAGACTTCCCAAAGAGCTGCTTATAGGTGCAGAGCTTGTAATCCTTAACCTTGTTTTACCACTTAATGAATCACTAACTCAGAACAATTGGAGGTCAGAAGTCCTTAAGTTGATTGGCACCATTATTGTGTCAGGCCAGTGATAACAGAGGACTGCTATGAAGATCAGAAGATATGTCTCAACATAAGGGTTATTGCTAACCTTGTGAAATCAACCTTATTGGTGGGTGAAAGTCTCAGCACTCCTTTTAGGATAAAGACCTCTTCCAAAGTCAAACTGGTCATTGAAGACTTTTAAAGTGGTTCTAAAGGCTGAAGGTGTTTTACCTTCATGCATTCCATGCACCAGGACCCCCCTAAAACTTACGTAAGTCCCATCTCGATCCAGAGACGTCCACAACAGCCTCAGCTCTCCCAGGTATCTCTCTCCTCATTGGCTGAGATAGTAGTGGGAGCGAGCATGCTCGGGCATCCCAAAGTAAGGTGCTTGCTGTGGGAGCACATGGCAGGAGGAGGGAACCGAGAAGAGGAGGATCAGGGCTGCTCTGTGCAAAATCATTGCACAGAGTAGGTAAGTACAACATGTTATTAAAAAAGAAAAAAAAAAAAAAAAAAAACATTAATGTCACTTTAACTGAAAAATGCTACCTATATAAAATAGACAGCAGTTATGGGTCCAAATAGTGCCTAGGACCTCAGATGTTTGCCTAAATCCATCTGTGTGATTCGGGGGTAGGCGGTATCACTAGCTGGCTTAGGTTGGTGGCCTGAGCTTAGTTTCTGTGTGAAACACAGCAGAGCCAGCAGGGTAGGGAGGTGTTAGGAGCTGATGGGACCAGATGTTAGAAGGTCACATCGCACTGCAACATAAACTCACCTGCTTTAGGAACCTCTCTGCCACCCAGCACCCCAGACACTGCAAATGTCGGCCAGCCAGCTGCTCTCCCCTTATCTCTTTTGCAAAGACATACCCAATCAGTATTTGGTTCCACCCATTTCTGGTGACTTCAAGCCCTGCCTAGTGCACTTTGTAGGTGCAGATCATCTTCTAAAGACTGGAAATAGTTGCTTCAACTGACAGATGTGTGAGAGGAACCTCAAAACCAAGTTTCTGAGTTTCCTCCTGGGTGAATTGAGTGAAATGACAGCTATGCACATGGTAGCTATGTCCTATGGTTGGTCCTCAGGCCTTTGGGGGTGGTGTGCACATTGAGTGTGATCCCAGGGGAAGGGTGACACTATCCCTGTCTCAGAGGAAGTGAGATGCTAAAACACTCAAATGTATTAATAAGCCACCCACTGCCTCCATTACTACGGAACCCTTCCAATGTGGCAGCCATCATTCAGAGGTCCAACAACATTTATTCCTTTTTACTTTCAAGGGAAGTGTTTAAATTTGAAATACAACATCACTATTAATCACTCCTCCCACCTAAAATTATTGAATCTTGAGCCAGGGAGAGGCTTGTGAGAGGGTCAATGAGTAGAGGAAGAAGCTGCTTAACTGAGCCCCCAGCCAAATTGCAGGGTGGTACATTTAAGGACTGGGTAGCTGTCTGCTTGCATATAATTCTAAGAGAGATTTACTAATGGCCAGTCTAACACATCAGTGTCTTTGTGTGTAAAGTAACTAGCTGTTTACACAATACCTCAATGTAAACTGTGTTATGACTCTTGCACAATCACTTCTATGTTACCTGAGGGTGTACGGAAAGTGCCAAGCCTCTTCTGTCCGCAATCACAAGTGTAATTATAGACTTCAAGATTGTAGCAAAGAAAGTGTTAACCCCAAACACCAATGCACAAAGTTCCTTGGACAAGGAGCTTGCAATCTGGAAGCTGAAACAAAAATTTAAAAATAACATTACAATGCTCAATAATAGCTATAGACAAAACAACACACTTCGGCCAGAGACAAAAAGGTAAATTTAAAGTCAGGAGAACTTTACAAGAGCGGCCATTCCTGACTTATAAATTAATATGTGGTAATGCTTTGAGACAGAAACCTGGGAACAGGTATGAAGATCTGCAAAGTGAGAAAAAAATCTCTCGTTCTTATCTGTGTATACATGTTCATGCAATTCAATTCATGACAGCTAGGCAACTAGTATTTTTATAGGCAGAGAACAGCAATGGCAGTCCTCAAGCTTCATAAAACATTATTACTTTAAACAACTTTGGGACAGTTGCCAGAATTCTGATTGGTTCCAGAACTGCATTCTGTCTGTGCTTACTGCAATGTCACAAGCAAGAAATGATTTAAACTGAGGAACCTTCTGACTTTAGTACATTAAAGTTTCATTGAGAATTTGCAGACTAATTGTATAATATGAGCTCTCAAAGTCTCTGAAGAGAAGTGCCAATGTGGCATGCAGGAACAAAATAACGGGTCTGATCGGCTATCCTGGACTGCAGGAAGACTCCATATTGCTAAATGTCAGTGTATCCAATGTAAACATAAGACACTTACATTGCGATGGGAACCAGGAACTGGTAGGAACTTCGAAATATAACATAAGACACGTAACACACCCAGATATTTGTAGTCGTGTTCATGAGTAGGAGAAGCCCAGCCTGCAAGGCGGTCACTGACCCAATAACCAATTCTGACCACAGGCTCCAGCGAATCTTCACATAGCCAGCAGCAAAAGAGGTCATGGCTCCTGGAGACACCAAGGACAAAGAAGTTACCAACTTGGCTACTTTTGGTTCTAAGCATCATCTGCTACAAAACAAGTACTGACAAACAGGCTACCACTGCTGACTTTTCTTTCAGAAGATGCTAATTGCCTGGTTATTATGCTGGACAAGTTCAGCAATTAAAATCAGGTGGCCTGATCCTCTTCTAATTGTATTTTTTACTTTCCTAGAGTTCATTATTAGTGAAAGTGTTTTTTCTTTAACCAAAAAGGAGTTCTTAAGGCCTCATGCACGCAGGACGTTTTTCTCACTCTCCTAAAAGCCTCTCTGCCTGGCAGCAGCGTTTTGGCAGAAAAAAAACCTGACGTTTGTAGAAGTGTGTATGTTTAGCAGTGTCAAGAGTTTGGTCATTAAATTTATTTAATTGGCCAGAATAATTTATTCTAGCCATTGAAATTAATGCCCAAATGCTAAACGTGCCTAGCGTTAACACGAATTTAGTGTCAAGCGTTTTTTCTGCCAAAACTACTGCTCCTGGCCTCACTGGCAGAGAGTTTTTTCTGCCTCTATACTTCTCTAAGAGTTTATGTGTGCATGGACACATAGGCTTACATGCAGGGGCGTTTAGAGGCAGGAAAAATAATGCCAGACTGCCCTAGAAGCAGCACCGGAAAAAAGTCCAGTGTACGTAAGGCTTAATAAATCACAATAAAGATTGCTTCTAAACAAAAAAATTACCTGGAGAGATAATTTTTGGGAAAATCTTAAATACAATAAAATTTGTTAAAGAAACAGTGCGCCAATTACTGTTAAGAATGAAGGTACATTTTTGTTTTCATGCCCGGGCCTCAGTGCAACAGTTCTCAGTCCAGGGATTTTGGCACCAAAAGTAACAAAAAATCCTGCAATTCCCCAAAGTGTCACTGGTATCAAAACGATATTCACAATACAACTAGCCACTTCAATACAGGGCACTTTTACCCCCTTCCTGCCCAGACCAATTTTCAGGTTTCAGCGCTCTCGCACTTTGAATGACAATTGCGCGATCATGCAACACTGTACCCAAACAAAAATGTTATTTTGTTTACAAAACTATAGCTTTCTTTTGGTGGTATTTAATCACCACTGGGGTTTTTATTTTTTGCTAAATTAACGAAAAAAGTCCAAAAATTTTGAAAAAAACCCATATTTTTCTTTGTTTCTGTTATAAAACTGCAAATAAATAATTGTTTTTCACAAAACCAAGATGTATTCTGCTACATTTCATTGGTGAAAATAACCCAAATCAGTATTTATTAGTCTGTAGGAAAGTTATAGAGTTCACAATCTATATGATATAGAATTGAAAATTGACCAATCCTGATGTACTGACAGCCAATCTCATTTCTTAAGGCCCAAAAATGACAGAACAGTACAGATATCCCCCAAATGACCCCTTTTTGTAAAGTAGACAGTCCGGCGTAATTCATAAGAGGCATGGCGAGTTTTTTGAAGTTGTAATTTTTTTGTCATAATTTTTAGGAAAATGAATTAAAAAAAGTCACATTTTTTTTTACATACGGTCACCAGTGCAGTACAGCGTTAGCATATAACCTGGTGTGGTGGTGATCAGGTACACTGGTGACAGTACGAAAAAAAAAAATAAGATTTTTTTTTCAATTTTTCGTTTTTTTTTTTTTTATATTGCACCATGACCAAAGTAGTATAATGTAACCATAGTAACATTGTACTACTTTGAGGAAGTGATCAGTATTTTTTTTTTTACACAATTTGATTATAGCAAAGAATTTGTTGCTATAAGCAAGCATTTAACTGAATGAAATAGACTCATTCAGGTTTTTATTGTTGTGATTAGCCACGACTAATCACGACACAGATGGGCTGTGATTGACCCAGCCTGTGCATGTGATCGCTGTGACCATTCCTAGCTAGACACACTTGTATACAATGGATGGCATGAAAGGAAGCCATCCATGGTATCCAACTGTCATTTGACCTGCTGTGATTGGTCACAGCAGGTCACATGGTACTTGCAACAGGGCGGTACACAGATCTGTCATCAGCCGTATCAGAGGTACACGGCTGGTGACAGATCTCACCATGTATGGCATTGGTTCTCATAAATGTTGGTTACCCTCTCTGTAATGACAAATGTCTCCTACAGTAACAAACAATATGCGTTCTCTCTCCTAATGCAGATACAGAGCCCCCCCCCCCTCATGGTAATGACAGATTCAACCATCCAGCCCCCCCTCTGCTGGTTCTAGCAATTCTGGGGGATTTTTCTGTGTCAGCAGGTTTTGTGGAGACGGGTGAGGGGCAGTGTGTGTCTGGTCCTGGGAGTCAGTGTTGTGAGGCAAGCAGGGTGGAGGGTACAGAGGGTCCCCAATAGGAGACACAAACCCAAGCAGCATCTTTCCACACCAGTGAACACAATCTGGCTACCAGGCAGTACTCCCCTCCTCTTGCCTTGCTCAGCCCTGTGACAGTTCAGGGTCCATCAGCACCAACACTTCCTCCCCTGTCCGTAGCTGCTCTCATCCCATCTTCCGCTCTGTCCCTTGACTGTGGGTCAGAACATGCAGGGACACTGTGGGATCTGCGCTTCATTGGGAGAGGTAGCTTCGTGCACGAAAAAGTCTCCTCCCGTTCCACCCGCCAGCTCTCTCCTCTATTGCTCCACCCACCAGTCTCTCTCCTTCCCTGCTCCACCCGCCAGTCTCTCTCCTTCCCTGCTCCACCCGCCAGTCTCTCTCCTCTATTGCTCCACCCACCCGGCTCTCTCCTTCCCTGCTCCACCCACCCGGCTCTCTCCTTCCCTGCTCCACCCACCTGGCTCTCTCCTTTCCCTGCTCTGGAACTTTTCTGGAGGAGCAGTTTAGTTCAGGGTCTTGAGAAGGGGTATTATATTTATATTGATTTTGTATGAATGCACATTGTTTTCACTGATCACTAGCACTGTACTTGTCGAAGATTCTGGTTATCTAGTATCTTCATGTATTTTCACTTTTTTTTTTTTTTTTTTTTAGTATAGCAGCTGGGTGAATTTTGCTTTTGGAAAATAGGTATATACTTTTCGTACATTACCATTTTTTTTCTTTTTTTGCACTATAGTGAGGAAGAGCTTATTATTAATAGATGCTATATGTTAAAATAAGCACACCTAGAGAAATACCACAAGCCAGCCATCCAAAACTACTGACACTCAATAAAAATTTGAGGAAAGACAGCACTGAACCCGCAGGTACCCTCTACTGGTATGGTTATCTTAAGATATAAAATGTTGGTGTAAATGATCTGGGTCTGGGCAGGAGGCTTCTACACCCCAGAGGATCTCCACAGTCTCCCTGGTTTGTAGTGTGTTGTAAGGAGTTTACATTGAAGCGACACACCACTGTTAAGAGGTCCAGACATAACTTTATTCCATTAAAAGTCATGGGTCTAATTGAAGAAGCCAACACGTTCAGGGACCCTCTTCATCAGGGCTACAAAGAACATAAAAAGATTTTTGTTTCAATCTGACATCAAATACAATGTCCCTGCAAAGGGGTCATATTTAAAACCAGTCAATCATAGTAACAGTTAAAAAAAAAAAAAAAGTTGTTACATAAAAATGAGAACATGAGTGCTGAACAAAAACAAGAAGAATATGGGTGCTGAAAAACAAAAAACAGCACCCATATTCTCGTTTATGTTCAGCACTCATGTTCTAATTTTTTTTTTTTTTTTTTTTTCTATATTAGGATTGGCTGTTTGGATTTAATTATGACCCCTTTGAGGGGACATTGTACTGATGTCAGGTTGGAATGAAAATCTTCCTATGTTCTTTCTAGCCCTGATGAACGGGGCACTTGCACCCCCCGAAATACGTTGGCTACTTCTCAAATTATACCCCTGACTTTTAATGAACAAGTTGTATCGTGACCTCTTAACAGTGGTGGGGCGCTTCAATTTCAACTCTTCTTACATAATATGGCTGTCTACTGAATTCTACATCATCTTACCCAGCCCAACCAGAAACTTACCAAGAAGTGTTGATGCAGCATCAACACCCCCATTATATACCCGTCGGTTGTCTCTGGTAGGGTAAATCTCATTCCACAAGATCTGAACATAGTATAGCATAAGATAGTAGCCAGCCGAGTTAAAAATCCACCAAAGAGACCAGAGACGTAATTGGGGATGACGGAAAATTCCCTTGAGCTCAGCAAGCATACGGATGAACACAGAGTCTCTCCATCTATAGCACCAGCCACCAGCCTTGCCTGCAGGATTCATCTTTTGCAGCTCTGAATGGTTGATTCCATTCTCATGTTTAGAAACACTTTTATTGAAGAAAAGGCTTCTTTTGGGGCGCTGCAGAAACAAGGTGAGTATCAGTCCGAATATCATGAAGCCAAGAGAAATGTAGTTCAGAGTCTGAAAAGGGACGCCACCCAATGTGACACAAAGCTGCCCCAGCACAGCACTGATGAACACCCCCATGAGCACAGATGACCGGGAGAATCCTGCAGCCCTTTGATACCTGGCAGGGGATACCAATGAGAAGATGTATGACGAATATGCAACACGTGCTGCCATGGTGATGCCATAGAAGAACTCCATAAACTGCATAGCAATGACATCAGTACCAAAGATAAGCAGCAACAACCAGACTGAGATGTGACTGAGGCTTTGGAGGATCAACACTGGTTTATAGCGTAGGTAATCTGTCAGCAGGAAAACTGGCACCAATACCACCATGTATGAGTAACTCAGCACTGGAGTAATTTCGTTGGTGACCTACAGGAACAAAATAGAGAGGCGGTTAAAAACATGCAGCAGCACATCAGTAAAATCATCCCTATGGTCCTGCCTCCTTTAATGCAGTACATACCTGACAGACCAGGTGAGGGAAGGACGGCCCTCGAAGCCTAAGTGCTGCAGTCCAGGAGATTAAAGGGGGTAGATATGAAGGCTGACAGTACATAAGACTGTTAAATGGTTTGTTTCTTATAACAAACTCAAGATCAGCTTTAAAGTGGAACACCACGCAAGCAGCTAAAGCACAGTGGAATGCAACAGAATTGTTCATGGAACTTAGGACTTCACCATTGTTGAAAGGCATCCAGGATGGCACATAGGAGGAGTCTCCTTGTATCCGGACGATATGCAGTTGTACCTGTCCCACAACATACTATATCTGAGCTGTTATGTATTGTCAAGAACTTTCTCCACTACTTGCGGTTCAAAGTTAATTGGTCCAAATTACATACAGTACAGTGGGAAAAAGAATTATTTGATCCCCTGCAGATTTTGTAAGTTTGCCTACTTACAAAGAAATTAAGGGTCTATATTTTAATAATTTTGTATATTTTAAAATGATAGAGACAGAATATCAACCAAAAATCCAGAAAAAAAAAAACACAATACAAATGTTATAAATAGAGTTGCAGTTCAGCGAGTAAAATAAATATTTGATCCCCTATCAACCAACAATACTTCTGGCTCCAAAAGACTGGCTATGTGCTCATGTGGTACACAGACCAGTCATGTAAATTTTAAGATGGTGTTCCTAATGACAACTTAAGAGCATAAAAGACGCATGTCCACAGAATCTTTTTCTTCCATTCAAACCTCACAACCATGGGCAAGACCAAAGAGCTGTCAAAGGATGTCAGGGACAAGACTGTAGACCTGCACAAGGCTAGAATGGGCCACAAGACCATCAGCAAGAAGCTTGATGAGCAGGAGACAACTGTTGAGCAATTATTTGCAAATAGAACTCAATTTACAACATTTGTATCATGTGTTTTTTTTCTAGCTTTTTGGTCTCTAGCATTTAAAATACAACTATGATAAAAATTATAGACCCTTCATTTCTTTGTAAGTGGGCAAACCTATCTGCAGGGGATCAAATAATTATTTTTTCCACTGTATTTTCCCTATGGTCTGAACAGGACAGCACAATGGTTTAAATGGTTAGCACTTCTGCCTGGCAGTACTATGGTCATTGGTTCGAATCCCAACCACAGCACTATCTGACTGGAGTTTGCATGTTCTCCCTGTGCCTGTGTGTGTTACCTCTGGGTACTCTGGTTTCCTCCCAAACTCCAAAGACATGCTGGTAGGTTCACTGGATCCTGTCTAAATTGCCCCTAGTATGTGTATGTATGAAAGTAAGTTAGGGACCTTAGATTGTAAGCCCCTTGAGGGTTAGGGACTGATGTGAATATACAATATATATGTAAAATGCTGCGTAAATTGACAGTGCTATACAAGTATCTGTAATAAATAATAAACTGCCCTTTGCCTTGCTGTCCATTTGCCCACTGCAGACCACAAATACATTGAAGTATTTAGGCATGGATTTTCATTTGGCCTTTATTAGTATGATAATTTGTTGCCATGTATACCAAAACCACACTGTGGCTTTAATTTCCTCTTATGCTTACAGGGAGAGTAAATTTTAAAAGATTTTCCTTCCCAGATTTTTGTATATTTTGTCCTAACTCCCCAATCTATGTTCCCAAAAGGGTATTCAAAAGACATTGACTGTCCTCTCCACATTTCTCTGACTCTAAATTACCCGTACATTCATTGTAGACTCCTCAGCTTCCTAACTCTCAGGGGGTTTGGCCCTGCCCAACCATAACCTTTATTATTATGCTTCTCAGTTGGTCTAAATTCATTGTTGGCTTTTCCCTCAACTGAATAATGCAACCATTACAACGGACACTGCTGTGGTCTCATTGTATAGGATGTTAGCCAATGTCATCTACAGGCACTCTCTCCCAACAGTTAATGGGTGCCATTTTAAAAGTATCAGTGAAAATATATACCCAGTGTTTGCACATACTGGCTGATATGGTACAATTAGTTCTGTTAACCCTAAGCTTCCACACTTTTTTGGCTTTCTAGATGGTCTGCTGTGGGCACACCGGGGCCTAAAATATATAAATCTCTATCTATCTCTCTCTCCCAACTGTATTCTCAGGACTCGTTTAAGGCCTTTTCTGTACTGCAACGAGAGCTAGTATCACAATGAATTTGAGCGTCACACCAATGCGTTAGTGCTTTTTGCAGAAATGCACTACAGTCCATTTAACATTGTTTTCTATGGGACATGCTCACATCTACAGCGAGGAACAGAAGTATTTGAACACCCTGCGATTTTGTAAGTTCTCTCACTTAAAAATCATGGAGGGGTCTGAAATTCATATTGTAGGTGCATTCCCACTCTGAGACAGAATTTAAAAAAAAAAAAATTCAGGAAATCACATTGTATGATTTTTAAAGAATTTGTCTTGAACTGCTGAACATACGTATTTGAACACCTGAGAAAATCAGTGTTAATATTTGGTACAGAAGCCTTTGTTTGCAATTACAGAGGTCAAACGTTTCCTGTAGTTCTTGACCAGGTTTGCACACACTGCAACAGGGATTTTGGCCCACTCCTCCACACAGATCTCCTCTAGATCTGTCAGGTTTCGGGGCTGTCGCTGAGCAACATGCAGTTTCAGCTCCCTCCAAAGATGTTCTATTGGATTTAGGTCTGGAGACTGGCTAGGCCACTCCAGAACCTTGATATGCTTCTTACGGAGCCACTCCTTGGTTATCCTGGCTGTGTGCTTCGGGTCGTTGTCATGTTGGAAGACCCAGATACGGCCCATCGTCAATGCTCTGACTGAGGGAAGGAGGTTGTTGCTCAAAATCTCACAATAAATGGCCCCATTCATCCTCTCCTTAATACAGTGAATCGTCCTGTCCCGGATAGGTTAAAAAAAAAAAAAAAAAAAAAAAAAAAAAAAAAAAAAAAGGGGGGGGGGGGGGGGGGGTAAGGTTTATTTTTTTAACCATTTGCCTACTGGGCATTTTTACCCCATTCCTGCCAAGACCAATTTTCAGCTTTCAGCGCTATCGCACTTTGAACGACAATTGCGTGGTCATGCAACACTGTACCCATATTAAATTTTTATAATTTTTTCATCACACAAATAGAGCTTTCTTTTGGTGGTATTTAGTCACCACTGGGTGTTTCATTTTTTGCTAAACGAAAAAAAAAAAAAAAAAGATTATAAATGTTGAAAGAAAAAAGTCTTAGTTTCTATTATACAATTTTGAAAACAGGTAATTTTTCTCCACGAATGTGCATTGATGAGGCTGCACTGATGGGCATTAATGAGGAGGCACTGATGGACCCTAATTTACATTGATAGGCAGCACTGATGGGCACTATTGGGGCTGCACTGATAATCAGTGTAGATGTCTTCTTTCACACTTGCCAGTTATGGCCATACTTTCTTCATGCTGAGACAGTGTGAGGAGAGTACTGCCGATAACCAGCAAGTGTGTTTACCACGTGATCAGTTGTGTCCAATCACAGCTGATCACACCGTGATCACGTCATGGTAAAGGGCCACTGTGATTGGCACTTTACCGTGACATGTGATCAGCTGTGTCCTAAGGCGCATGGGGGGGGGGGGGGGGGGGGGGGCACGGTTCTGGAAGGACGTCATGCCACCCTCCCAGAACTGAATGACCGAGCTGAAGCCATCATTCCGCTATAGCGCAGTCAGAAAGTGGCTAAACAACAAATAGGTTATACTTTCCTTCTCTGTTCAATAGAATTGCACAGAGCGGCCTTACCCCCCTCTTCTTGAGCCTCTCATCAGTGCTCAGTGAAGAAGCTGCTTCCTATTATGGCACACCTACAGGCACGATTGATCATGAGCTGCGCTGCCTGCGTTCATAGTTACAAACAGTGGCCCCACCTCTTGCTCTTTCATCACAAAATCAAGTGAGGGCTCAGTTAAGTATAGGGTGGGGAGATAGGGGACGATCTTACTACCTACAATTTTTTTTTTGATAAAAATGTTGAGGCTTTAGAACTAATTTAACACTATAGAACCAGTCCATTTTAATTTGGCCGGCTACTATTAGCTATGCATCAGCTGTTATTTTACAGGCACACACAAACTTTTGGCACAATATACTGCTCCCATATTAAACAGCAAGTGCCAAGATGTTATAATGTTTGTGATCAGATGACTGAAGTCTGGTTTCAAAAGAATGGACAAAGGTTACAGTTCACATGCTTTCACAGCAGCTTACAGCATTCCTTAGCAAGTGACGTATGTGTGGTAAGCTGTGTGTCTGCAGAGTTCTGTCACAGACCACGGAAGTCCCTGCTCTGCACCATCAAGAAAGTTAGATATGAAGGCAATTTTACAACAGGAGAGGTTCTCATCCATGACTAAATGAGATAGAGCAAAGTGCAGCAGTCCAGAGTAACTAATAGACAATCCTGATCAGTTCCGATGGGTTACCGCACTGTGCACATGGCTGCTGTTCCTAGCATGGACTCAAATAAGCTCATTTATCCTAATCTATTAATGGAAACTGCTTAGATTATTAAAGTGCTTACAAACCAAGCTGAAATGATGACCAAAGGTTTGTTTTTTCTTATGGTACTGAGTCAGCATATGCAAGTAACAAAACAGAAATCATGTAATGAATCCTGGAAGAAGAAACAATGTAAATACAGTATAACTTGGATCACATGCTGGCATATTTAGGCTGAACTTGGCAGTAGTCTTAAAAAAAAAAAAAAATAGAAACATGAAATAAAGCTTTAACACGTGTTGCAGCGCACCACAATGGGTGGTAACACTACTATGAATTGTAATGTGCTATAATGGAAATATTGCTGCATGCCTGTTTTTGGTATGTGTTAGGAGCCTTTTCATTTGAATTTGCTGCCTTAAAAGTACAACTATGGGTTCCTGTATAACTGGCTAAACCAGGGCTGGACAAATTTGCTTTCAATCTAGGAGCCAGCTAAAAAAGTTAAGAGCCAGGTTTTTTTTATTTCACCATTTGCCTACTGATTACTTTTATCCCCGTTCCTGCCCGTGCCAATTTTCAGCTTTTAGTGCTGTCACACTTTCACTGTCAATTGCATGGTCATATAGCACTGTACCCACATAACATTTATACCAATTTGATAGATCTAGTAGGGCTTTTTTTTGGTTAGATTTCATCACCACTGGGATTTTTAGTTAATAAATAAGCAATTTTTCTTCTGCACTGATGTGCAGTGATGAGCTTACACCGATAGGCCACATTGATGGGCACGGATAGGTGGCTGCACTGGCTGTCCAAGGGGTAGCGGGCTCCCGGACTACTCAGACCCAACTCGAAGCCGTAATCTGAGCCCATCCAGGGGGGAAAATGGAGAGCCCAAAAGAGTCCCCTGCAAGGGGGTGTCCGGCTCAGGGTCATTGTTGAGCCCGTTCAGTGCTGCCAATTACTTTTCTGAGGTAAGGCTGAGAGTCTCCCTGGACAGCTCAGCCTGGACCCGCACCCAGTGATCCTGTAGGAAGAGCCCAGAGCAGAAGGCTCGAGACCTGTACAAGGCACATTTCCTGCCAGGGCTCCGCTCCTTCCCTGACCCCCCCGACAGCCCCACATCTCCCCTAACCCACACTTCACAGTCCCACCCCTCTCCTCCTTTAACCTTCCCTCCCAGTGCAACCCCTCAATACTCCCCAGCCTCATAAACACACATGTGGCACATGCCAGCCGCCCGGGAATGGCAGGACTACAGTCTGTTCTGCGACGCCCCCTCCCCAACCATGCTACGCCACTGGGGCCGACAAAAGCCCAGGAGCCAGGGTGCAGTTTCTAATTGCCAGAGCGAACTGGGATTTGTCAAGTCCTGATCTAAACAATCCAGTTGCTAGGTGATACACAAACCAAAGTAACCACAAAACCTCCCTTCAAACTTTCTTTATCGCTCCTAAGCCAAATCCTCCATTTTTGTTTCATATGCTCCCCCTCTCAGACACTGCAGCTCACTGTAGAGAGTTGCAGCAACAGAGGCAGTGATGTAATTCAGGATGCAGTGGACAGGATTAGCTGTGGGTAAAAATAAAAGTAAAAACCAGGCTGAGGAAAACAAACAAACAAACAAACAAAAAAAAAAAAAAAAAAAAAAAAAAAAAATCACATGTCTCTTCCAGGTCAGTGAAAGGACATTTGTTGGTCTCGCTCCCCTCTACCTAGTGGTAGCAGCCATGCTTGTCCCAGATCCGCTGATGAGCGCGCAGAGCCGGGATACATGGCAGGGGCGTGGGGTGGTCGTGCTGTGGAAGTGATAACTTTGCCCTGGACCACCGGAAAGCCAACAGTCAGCTTAACATACACACACACGTCCTGGCTAATACTGCAGCTGGAGTATATTTAGAAAGCCCCTGATCCCTGCGCCGATTCAAAATGTCAATGGACTGAATTTATTTGAAGTGTCACAAAGTGAAACCCCATACACACCTCTATGCATTTTACTTTAGTTCACCAAACCACCTGGTGGTGTTGCAGTGTAAATACAGTTTTTTCTATGTGCCCCAGCGGTGACCTGAACTGATCTAGTGCAGAAAATTACAGGTCACCACACTATGTGTGAACAAGCTCTAAATATAGAATTAAAAAAAAATGAAAATACTAATATTCTGTAACGTACCTGCTCTTTGGTAAAGTTTCTTTCAGAACTCAGTAGGTATGGTGTGATAAAGCTTTCGCCAGGACGTATCTGGTTCATGAAGCCATAAAAACAAAGATAAAATAGCAGACACTTCCATCGCTGGTCATCACCAGGTAGGGTCGACTGACCATCTGATGCAGACTGTGGCTCATCGACAGGAGACTGTGGCTCATCGACAGGGACTGTCATCGACAGGAGAGGAGACTGTGGCTCTTCTTCATTTGGAGGATTTTGCTTTTCATCTCTTTCACAATCTGAAGCCATCTACAAATTAAACCTTGCAATGAAGAAAAAATGTACACATCAGAAAAACTATCAGAATTGCTAATCCATTCTTGCACAAATGGATATTAAAGTCATCTATCCAGCTGGCAGGTGGAGCTGTGTTTTTTTCTTTCATGTGCTGCATTGCATCATTGCTGAACAAAGCCAGTTTACAGAACAAAGCAGATCTTCAACCAATAAATTAACCTGCTCTCCTTTGTTCTCAGAGAATCACAGATATGTGGTATATACAAAAAATAAATTTTTTTTTCCCCCCTTATATAGGGGTGCAACCTGCCACTTCCCGATTCCTTCCCGATGATGTAGGGATTGGTCATGTGCTGCCTCCTGGGATGTCCACATGACGCATCCCATGTGGCAGTGTTTTTTCAAACCCAATACCTGTTATATGCACAAGATCCTGTGGTGCGCATGCACATGAAAATCAGGAAGTAACAGGAGTGACAAGATGCCGGCGCAGAAGCAGAGTTCCATGGACTAGTACTTTTTTTTTTATTATCATACAGAGATTTGTTAAAGCAGAACTTCACCCTCTCAATCAACATTAAATATTTTGAATCCTTTTGTTGCTAGCATTAGTAAATAGATAGAAAAATATGTTATATTTACTGGTTTTAAACATTTCTTCAGTTACTTTCTGGTTTCAATGCCTAGACAAATGTGTGATACATCCCAAGAGTCTCAGGAGGAGGAGCTTTCTCAGCTAAGCACACTCGCCTGTCTGCATGCCTGAGCTAAGGGCAGATGGATTCCAGGAAGTATACAAATGAAGAAAATATAGATGCCGCGCTCTATCAAGACCTATTACCTGTATATAGTATAAAAACTGTATTTGCATTAAATCTCTAATAGCTGCATGATCTCTTATGTGTAACCATACATGATTGTAATGCCAATCAATACCCAAACATGTGTTGATAATAATGAATAAATTAATTAGAAAAATATATATCAAAATTGGTGATATAAAAGAAAAAAAAAAAAAATAATAAAACGTCTGTGCAAAATTATTCAAATGTGTGTCCTTCGATGATTAAATAAATAATCCAATTATTAAATTGAAAAATATGAAAAATGAATAAAAGGTAAAAATACAATAAATATTGTGCAAAAACACAAAATAAACTTGGTGCAGAGTTCAGCAAGGATGAAACATCTGTGTGCTCTCCTTCCAATCAGCCTGAGGTGATGCAGGTGAAGGTTTCTCAGCTAAGCACACCCTCCTGTTTGCATGCATGAGCTAAGGGCAGATGGATTCCAGGAAGTAAATGCTACATGAATCATCTGCCCTTACTCAAGATGGCCATGGCCAGAAATGCTAGGGGGTGTTTTTCAACATGGTTTCCCAGCAAAATAAAGCACAGAGACATGGATGGATGAGTTTGCTTTAAAACTAACTGGTTTTGGTTTAAGAAATGGAATATAGTTTTACCTAGTTAGGGTGATGCATCTATTTAATTGCATGCTATCCCTAAGATAACTATCTATCTCCTTAGGAACAAGTGAGTCAGGATCATGGCTACAGCTCCGTGAAAATGCGGGTTTGATAAACAGCTGGGCTAATATGTCACATTTTATTCTCTGGAGCCTTTGCTTTCAGAAAATATATGTTTGGGGGTTCCAAGTAATTTTCAAGCAAAAATAAGCGGATTTATAACATGTATGGTTAAGTGGTTAAAGTAGAATTCTGTTTCCAGTCACTTTAAATAGTTTGTATTGGCCAAGCTCAACATTCAGGACCTGCCACAGCCCTGCAATACATCTGTGCATGTACACTAAAAATGGAAAGCATTTAACCACTTGCCAACCAGGCACTTATACCCCCTTATTTACCAGGCCAATTTTTTTAGCTTTCAGCGCTGCCGCACTTTGATTGACAATTGTGCGGTCATGCAACATTGTACCCATATGAAATTTTGATCATTTTTTTCTCACAAATAGAGCTTTCTTTTGGTGGTATTTAATTGTCGCTGGGCACTTTACTTTTTGCGCTATAAATAAAAAAAAGTGCAAAAAATTTGGAAAAAAAAAAAAAAAAAAAAAGTTTCTTTGTTTCTATTATAAAATTTTTCAAACAGGTATTTTTTTCTCCTTCACTGATGTGCGATGATGAGGCAGCACTGATGACTGGTGGCACTGAATAGGCGGCACTGAATAGACAGCACTAATGAGGTGTCACTGATAGAGCGGCACTGATAGGCGGCACTGATGATGGGTACTGATAGACGGCACTGACTGGCATCACTGATGGGCACTGACTGGCGGCACTGACTGGCACAACCCCTGGGCACTGACTGGCAGCACTGCTGGGCTGCACTGGTGGGTGGCAATGGTGGGCAGGGACAGGTGGGTGGCACTGGTGGGTGGGCACAGGCGGTTGGCACTGCGGCACAGGTAGGTGGCACTTCTGGGCGCAGGTAGGTGGCACTGCAGAGTGGCACAGGTGGGTGATCTGCTGGGCACAGGTGGGCAGAGCTAGTGGGCGCACTGCTGGGCACAGGTGGGTGGAACTTGCGGGTGGCACTGCTGGGCACCGATCTTCAGGGCACTAATCATCAGTGCCCTGATGATCGATGCCGATCCCCGTTCTGACAACTGCTGGTTCTCGGCAGTACTTTCCTCACGATCTGACAGCGTGAGGAAAGTGCAGCCGAGAACCGGCACTTGCATTTCCCTGTGATCAGCGTGTCATTGGACACCGCTGATCACATGGTAAAAGGCCACTGTGATTGGCCTTTTACCACATCACGTGATCAGCTGTGTCCGTAGGACACAGCGATCACGGAGATCGCCGGGTGCGCGCCCCCTGGGGCGTGCAGGAGAGCGCGTTCTGGGAGGACGTCATGTGACGTCCACTCAGAACTGGCCGGCCGCAGTGCAGCCGTCATTCGGCTATCTGCGGTCGGCAGCTAGTTAAAGGAGAAGTTTCAACTTAAAAAAAAAATAAATAAATGCATATCTTTAACAGGTAAAAAAAAAAAAAAAAGTATTTTTTTTTTTTTAATTAGGAGCCTATAAAGCATTGAAGCTGTGATCAGCAGACTGCAGGTGCAATCTCAGGCTCCTACAGGCTGCCTGTACCTCATATAAGCAGGCAGTTACTGTAGGACAGGAAAAATCAATGAACTACTAGAGTGCTCACCAGCACCCTGGTAGTTCACTGACAACTAAAAGCTGTCAGACACAGTGGCTGAGAGTAGTTGTAGTCCTCTAATTCACAGAACTCTGAAGGAATGATGCAGCGAGGTGGGAAAAAAGCTGCATTTTTTTGTGAAGATTCCTGGCCCACTGTCACAACAGGGGCTTAGGAGCGGGGGCTTCTCATTTAGTAACATGTTACAATGGATACGAATGTAACATGTTATGAAAGATGAACTTATCCTTAACAAAAATAAACATTTATCTAATTGTGAGAGAGGAAGGGGGGGGTGCAAAGGTCCACATACAGCTGACCATACATGCAAAGATTTCCTTTGTTTAGCCTGTGGGCTGAACAAAACAGATGTAACTGATTAATCCAACCACGATACACTGCATGGATGGAGGAATCTCCTGCTGTGGGCTCTTGCATTCTGACAGCTGGTGTTCACAGTTGTCAGGATACTCAAACACTGCATCTGATTGGATGCAGGAGCAGTTTGAGTGCCAATTTGCTGCCTGGTCCTTTTGATCTTCAAATTGAAGAATACTGATCCAGGTGATGCTGAAGGACCATCCATGTATTGAATTTCAGCCGTATGACCAGCTTTGCTGTGACAAATGCAGAAGATCCATCACTGACTACAACAGCATGGCTAGACTAAACTAAACTGTGTCTGAGGTCAGGAGGCGGGGCTTAGTCGTCTTTTTTTCCTTCATTTGTCATCTTGTCTACAGAATTAAAGTTAACTGATAACTGGAGTTAAGCCACCTGTGCTCTAGACACAGAAAGTTTTTTTTATGTATGAGCTGATCACACCGGTGCATTGCAGGAAAATGTGCATTTTTACCACAAAGCATGGCAAGACATAAAACACAGTGCGATGCTTTTCATCATAAATCATACCCCACAGGGTGGATAAAAATCAATGATTTTTTTTTTTTTAAATAATCAGATTTTTTTAAATTTAAATCAGATTTTTTTAAATTTAAATCAGATTTTTTTTATTTAAATTGGATTTTTTTTTAAATAAAATGATTTTTGAGAAAAATATATTACCATCCTAAGGTTATTCCATCATGAAATAAAGATTAGTTTTTTAATTATGTTTATGTATATGTTTAATTGTTTTGGTAAATAAATTCCATGAATCCATTCACAATGTCATGCTCTTCGAGAGGACATTTGTAATATTATTGGGCAGTTTCTCTGCCTACAAGATATTATCACAGATGCTTGGTTTACTTTTGCAGTTCTCAAAACTGAATTTGACTCAGTGGAGATCACATGCCTCTTCTTCACAGCAAAAATGTTATAACATGAACAGTTACGAAAAAGACCTTAATCCTAACTTCTACAAACCTATGAATACAGAATCAACCCCTTCAGTGCTAAGTTTCAAGAAGTTCAGTGAATAGAATAGAAACAATATTTTTCTGATTGTTTGGAGTGGAATAGATCTGCACAAGAAGAAAGTGAAACTAAGTGTGAGGAGGAAGGGGGTGACTGTCTAAGTTTCTTAAAATATATATATTTTTGTTTATCCAAATTAGTTTAAACATGGATGTTTGTTTAAGCAAATAACATATGCTGGAATGTTATTGTTTCAGATGAATAAATCTATTTAAATTATTATTATTAAGGTAATGATTATTTTTCTCCTTCCTAAGTACAACAGAAAAGTTGTCCAAATATGAATGATTAACCTATTAAACTGGGGATAAAAAAACTAATATGAAAAGTTGTTATTCTAAAAATCTTCATCTACTTGCATATTAAAGTTATACCAGCAAGAATTAGTCTATGTAGAAAACTAGGATTTAAATCAAGCC